ATGTAATCTGATTACTTTGGATTACTTGATTTGCTGTAGAGAAACAAAGACGAGGAAATCTTCACATAAGAAGTTTTGTCTGATAAAAGAAAATAAAAAGTCCAAACTTTACTGAACCAAATTAAAAAATATTGATAGAAAACGAAGAAACACGTCCACACAGCAGGAGTTAGTCCTGTTAAATCCTGGTTTAGTCCTGGTTTAGTTTTGGTTTAGTCCTGGTTTAGACCTGGTTTAGACCTGGTTTAGAACTGGTTTAGACCTGGTTTAGACCTGGTTTAGTCCTGGTTTAGACCTGGTTTAGTCCTGGTTTAGACCTAGTTTAGACCTGGTTTAGTCCTGGTTTAGACCTGGTTTAGTCCTGGTTTAGACCTGGTTTAGACCTGGTTTAGAACTGGTTTAGACCTGGTTTAGTGTCCGGTAATGAGTGGAATTACCGGAAAAAGGAAAAAAAAAAAAGGGTATTGCCCCAAATGTGAAAATAGGAAAATCCCTCTGTGTAATCCATTTATTTCAACAAAGTAACTGTAATCCAATTACCACTCACTTAAACAGTAACTGTAACTGAATACAGTTACTCATAATTCGTACTCTGATTACTTAACTCTAGTACATGTAATCTGTTACTCCCCAACACTGTGTGTGTGTGGAGGAATGCGCCCGCGTCCTGGAGCGGCTCTTTGGCTCTTTGGCTCTTCGGCTCTTGTGCGCACGGGCCCGCTGCTCTCGTGCGCGCTCCTCCGCTCGTCACTGAAGGTTATACAATCTGAGCTTATATAAGTGAGCCACATACCAGCCAATCAGCGCGCGGCCCGAGCGTCACGTGACCCGCCGAGCCTCTGAATGTAGAAGATCCAGAGCAGAGACAACCTTTAGCTCCGGAGCTCCGCGGCGCAGGCACCATGGCCCCCCGCGGACCCACAGCCTCTACCGCCGGGATCCCGACGCTTCTCAACGCGAGGACATGACGCCCGGACTGGGATAGTCGTGTGTTTGGCTCTGGGACATTTGGAGAGACTTGTGGAGGCGTCAGGGCAGAGTTTTGGAGGACGTTAGCGCCGTTAGCCTCGTTAGCTCCGTTAGCTCCGTTAGCTCCGTTAGCCTCGTTAGCTCGGAGCTCCGGCGCTTATATAAACACAGCGGGCGGATGTGCCGCGGCTCGCCGGGTAAACAACACCGCAGCCCGGCCTCGGAGCGGACACCCGTCGCTTTATGACGGTGGATCTAAAGTAGCACCTTTTTATTTTTAGTTTATTTAGTTTTGTAGAAGTTAATGAGGCAGAGTAAAAGAAAATGTAATCTCCTTAAACAGAGGCTCAGCCCGGAGGATCTAAACTCTGCTCACTCGAAAAACACATTTAGATTCAGCAGAAGTTTTCTTTTATTATTATTATTATTATTTTTAACATTTTTGTCATTTTCTAAACCCGCGGAGGAACCGAAGCAGTGCTCGGTTCATCTGGGCCAACTAAAAGAACAGAATCGAACCGGGGAGAGTGGCCCGTGAAGAGTCCCCGGGCCACAGCAGAGACAGTCGGGCTCCAGTCGGGCTCCAGTCGGTGCTGACCGCGGTGGTCGTGTGACTGACCCGGGTCCGAGCCTTCTTCACCGGCGATGGAGGCTGGGGCCGAGCGACGCGCAGAGCCACGACACAAGCTGAAATAAAAACCCGCTCGACAGAGACATGGAGACCGGGCTCATGAACCACCAGGGCCCGGCCGAGGTGTTCATCCACCCGCTGTCCAACCCGGGGGCGGCGGGGATCTGCCCGGAGATGCTGGAGGTGGCGGAGGAGGCGAACCGGGCGGGGGACTACGATCTGGCCGTGGAGATCTACAGCTCCCAGCTCCAGGACCTGCCGCAGCCGGACCGGGGCTTGTGTCTGCGGAAGGCCGACTCTCTGGCCAGGGCGGGTCGGATCTCGGAGGCGCTGGAGTCGTACTGCACCGCGGCGGGGATCAGCAAACTGCAGCCGCACGAACTGCCCCTGCTGGTGGAGACCATCGCCAAGAGTCTGCGGGAGAAGGAGCTGGGCATCCCGTGGGCCGCGAGTCACGGCCACGGGGGCACGGGGGAGGACGGAGGTGAGGGCTGCTTCTGCTTCTTCCTGCTCTTAATGCGCTGCAAATTTCTCTGAGCTGAACTAGATTTTTCAACTTTCATCAGGTTATTCGTCTTGTTTTCAAATGTATTATCTACTTACTTGTTCTGAGATGCTTCATTCTAGTCTAGAGATAATTTTACTTGACAAATTCTCTTAAAATAAACTCATCTTGCTGCACGGACAGATAATTTCACTACTTTAAAGTCATTTCCTGATAGATTTGGGTGTTTTGGTCAAGCTAGAAAGCAGAAAAACAGGCGTCTATAAAAAGACACAAGCCAGAGAAAATGTTCAAAACAATCTTTGACCAACAGAGGAAGTAAAAAATAACTTTATTTTTAAAAGCGTTTTATAAAAATAATACCGAAGGCTTTAAAATCGCGTACAGGAAGAATGCAAAGAGAGATAACGAAGCAGACAGTCGGAGATTAGAAAACAGAATCATAAAAATGAGATTAAACATGATAATAAAATAAATACAGAAATTATAAACAGTGACAAGAAGGTCAGTCGATAGAAATGAAGTTTAAAAAGTGATCTAAATAAAATACAAAAAATTAAAATAGAAATTAAAAACTGAAAAGAAGACCAATCCATAGAAGTGAGCTTAAAAAAAGTTATATAAATAAAATACAAATAAATAAAAATAGAAATTAAAAACTGTGAGAAGAAGGTCAGTCGATAGAAATGAGTTTTCAGGAGTGATTTAAACGATGGTGCTGATGATGCTCACGCTTACGCCTCCTTTTCTATTTTTACTACCTCTTTAGAATTTTAGTTTCTACCTTTTACGTGAGTCCAGATAATTTCACTTGTGAATCGTTAAACATTTGTCTAAGTTGAAGTCTTAAAGTTCTGAGCTGTAGCTTGGTACAAAAGGAAACAAATTTAAAAGGAGTAAAAAACGTAACCCGATTAAAGAGGACAAAGCTGGAACTTTACCGAATAGTTTTTAAATGAGTTTTGTATGATCTGAAACTACTACAGCTACTACTACTACTACTGCTAGGATTAGGGTTGTCAAAAGTGTTCTAAAACTACAAACTGGAGTGTTAAAATTAACTCTGACAGAATCATTTTGAACATTTTCTCAGTAACACTGGACCAAAGGTAACACTTTGTAGAGTTATCCTGATTTAACTCAACAACACACAAAGGAGTTTTATTTTGACACTTTATTTGAGTTAATATAAGATGAAATTATCAACAAATTATTATTATGAATTAACACTAAAGGAAGTTGAATTAACACCAGGGGAGGTTGAATCAACTCTGGCAAATAACCCAAACTCAAACCCCCATTTCACTTTCAAATAGTTAAAATAACACTTTTTGTGTTAAAAACAACTCATATTTTACCCTGAAATTGTAACCCTCCACAAACTGGATCAAATTTGACATTTTCTGTCGTTTATCAGCAGTAGTATAAGTCCACATAGTTCTGTGTTTAAAATTACAGTATTATCTTTAAAAATGATTGTTTAATGGTGCACTGTGTAACTTTTCTGGCAGAGGGAGGCCTCATCGGTTACTTATCTCCATGGAAACGTTATTGCTTTACCTCCAATATTCCAGCGTATGGCTTTAAATTTTACAGTGTCCATAGAAATGAGCAGGAGACGCCACCAGGGCAAAGTGTCGGGTCAGAAAAAAGAACCTGAAAACACGGTTTAAAACTATAAAATGTAAGGACCCAGGTTTGTTTACGTTTAATTTGGACAAAAAAAGGGTTAAAGATTTCAATGTCATTTCATCTCGAGTTCTGCAGCTCTTATTTATCTCTCAAATCACGACGGAAGAGTTTTGTTTGAATAAATGTTCAAACATTATGAGAAGTTCTAGATCAAAATCATATCATGAGTTGTTGTACAGTTGTAGGGAGTATTATCTGTTTGTTGTACAATTGTAGGGAGTATTATCTATTGTATCGTTGGGAGTATTATCTGTTTATTTTACAGTTGTAGGGAGTATTATCTGTTTGTTGTACAATTGTAGGGAGTATTATCTATTGTATCGTTGTTGGGAGTATTATCTGTTTATTTTACAGTTGTAGGGAGTATTATATGTCTGTTGCACAGTCATAGGGAGTATTATCTTTTCCATAAGTGTGAGTTGTACATTTGTAGGGAGTATTATCTGTCTCTCTCACACTTGTAGGGAGTATTATCTGTACGTGTTCCTCACTGCCCTCTGTGTCCTCAGAGTGCCCGGAGGAGGACGAGGCCCTGGACCTGTTCTCGTGCCGTTTGTGCCGGCGCCTCCTGCAGGACCCGACCACGCTGGAGTGCGGACACACGTTCTGTAAGCGGTGCCAGGACGAGCGCGCCGCCCAGGACTGCGCCCAGTGTAAAGCCAAAGCGCCGCCCGGCCCCTGCCCCCAGCGCCGCGTCAACGTGCTCCTCTGCGGCCTCCTCGACAAACTGTTCCCGTCGGAGAGCCGGGCGCGCCGGCTCTGGGTGGAGGCCGAGCTGCACTGGAAGAACAACAACCTGAAGGACGCCCTGGACAAGTTCAACGCCGCCGTGGAGCTCGGTAAGACCAGCGCCGGGTTCAGCAAAAACGTTACAGAAGCAGAGAGGGGTCACGACAAACGCAAACGCCGCAACAAATACAAATGCGACAACACAACAAAAAGCCACAACACAACAAAAAAAGACACAACAAACCAAAAAAAGACACAACGGAAATGACCGTGGGACTCTATTTTAATTTAAGCGCCGCAACAAATACAAACGCCACAAAACAAATGCAAATACAACACATTAAAAAGCCGCAACAGAAGTGACCGCGGGACTCTGTTTTCCGACGGACCGATCAAGAGGCAAGTGAAGAAGAAGAACTACAACGTGAAACGAATAATGATAAAACAATAAATTACTTTTACTTACGTTTCCAACTTCTCCGTTCCTTTACTTTTCACGTTGTAGTTCTTCTTCTTCACTTGCCGCTTGATCGGTCCGTCAGAAAACAGAGTCCCACAATCATTTCCGTTGTGGCTTTTTGTTGTGTTGTGGCATTTGTATTTTTTGCAGCGTTTGTTGTGACCCCTCTCGGCTTCCGTACCACGTCCTACCCGCCCGTTTAGACTCTAGTGAGATCGTCCCGGGGCGTCCGACATGTACCGTATTTTTCAGACTATAAGTGGCTCCGGAGTACAAGTCTCTCCGGGCAAAAAAGGAAAAAAACACAAGTCGCATTTTCTGGGGAAATGTATTTTATAAAATCAGAGACCAGGAGCAAACATTTCCTGTTGAAAGTCAAGTTCCCGAGGATAAAAATGACAAAATATTTGATGGCGAGTGTCTTTTGTTTAGACGGTGACGGTGTTTTTGGGTTAGTCTGATTCCTGAGCTGGTTTCACTTGGTGTAAACCGTGTGACCTGCAGCATTAGGATTCGTTCGTTTGACAGTAGGCGGGACTTTTTTTATTGAACCAGTCGCTGCTGTTTGTTCGTGACGTTTGTAAAGCTCCAAATCCTGTAGGAAGAAGAACAATAATGTCTTTCCCCGAGATCAAATTCACCAAATATTCTCTTTGTTTCAACTTTAAATCCGTCGATCTGGGGAATCGCCGACAACGCAGAATGTCTGTCTCTTCTCTGATTGGCTTCAGCCCGAACTCACACTTCTGGGCTTTTTGTGAATCGTTGAGTGTTTTCTGATTCCGGATCTAGAGCTGGACAGAAATGAAACTGAGCGGAGGCACTAGGGGGCGCCAGACTGACTAGTTTTTTGGTTTTAAAAATGTAAAATTCTGTAACCAGCCTCCAGAGTGTAGAAGTTGAATATTCTCGGCCGTAGTGTTTCCGTCGACTCTGGTCACATGTGCTCAGGTCATGTACGAGTTTATGTCACACACACACCGAGTGTCCCCACCGAGCCGCCTGACACACACACACACACACACACACACAAATGAATTCCACACACTTTTACGTCACCGGATACGTGCGAACTATAACACCGAGAAAACAACTGTAAAACAGAAACAAACCACTCAAATACGAATAGTGTCACACAATAAATTATTATTAATAATAATATTGTTAATGATAGAAATTCTGGTTTAGTCCAGGTTTAGTCCTGGCTTAGACCTGGTTTAGACCTCATTTAGTCCTGGTTTAGTTCCTGGGTTAAACTTGGTTTAGTCCCTGATTTAAACCCAATTTAGACCCTGTTTAGACCTGGTTTAGTCCCTGGTTTACACTTGGTTTAGTCCCTGATTTAAACCCAATGTAGTCCTGGTTTAGACCTTGTTCAGACCTTGCTTAGACCTGGTTTAGTCCCTGATTTAGTCCTTGTTTAGTCCTGGTTTAGGCTTGGTTTAGTCTTAGTTTAGACCCGGTTTAGTCCCTGATTTAGTCCCTGATTAGACCTGTTTTAGACTTTATTTAGACCTGGTTTAGACACAGATATTAGTTCACTTGGGTAATAGAAGAGAAAGTTTGACCTTTTTAAAGTGGAAAATCACCTGAAATCGTCTAAAGAAAGAGTTTTATTTTTAATATCGTCATGTGTGTCTGAGTGAACTGTAGTAGTAGGTCTGTGTCGTTCCTGGTGTGTGTCTCTGTGTGTGTGTGTGTGTGTGTGTGTGTGTGTGTGTAGTTCCCGGTCCTCTGTGTGTGATCTCAGCGTGACCTAGTTTTGTGAGTGTGGGAGCGTCCAGCAGAGGGCGCTGTTCCTGAGGTCAGTGGTTACATGATCCTGTGGTCATGTGTTACCTCAGAGACACGTGTGATCATCACTGTGTCCTTTATGACGACGCTTATCACCGCCACAAAACACCGACCAAACCTCCACCTGACCTCATTAACACCTGTAACACTCCTCGTTTAGTCCTGATTCAGTCCTGATTTAGTCCAGGTTTAGTTCTGGTTTGTTCTATTCCAGGTCCTGTAGTGGGGTTTGTGTTGGTTTGAGCTGTTTGTTTCAGTCCTGGTTTTGGTTCTAATTTTGAACTATTCTTTTCCCAGTTCAGTCCTGGTTTAGTCCTGGTTTAGTCCCGGTTTAGACCCTGTTTAGACCCTGTTTAGTCCCGGTTTATTTGTCCTGGTTTAGTCTGGCTTTGGTCTTGTTTTAGTCCTGGTCTAGTCCTGGTCTAGTCTAGCTTTAGTCCTGTTTCAGTCCTGGTTTAGTCCTGTTTCAGTCCTGGTTTAATCCTGTTTCAGTCCTGGTTTAGTCCTGTTTCAGTCCTGGTTTAGTCCTGTTTCAGTCCTGGTTCAGTCCTTGTTTAGTCCTGGTTCAGTTCTGGTTTAGTCCCGCTTTAGTCCTGGTTTAATCCCACTTTAGTCCTGAAGCAGGACTAAAACACTGAACCAGGACTAAAAACAGTTCTGGTTTTGTCCTGTTTCAGTCCCGTTTCAGTCCCGTTTCAGTCCTTGGTTCAGTCCTTGGTTCAGTCCTTGGTTCAGTCCTTGGTTCAGTCCTTGGTTCAGTCTTGTTTCAGACCTGTTTCAGTCCCGGTTTAGTCCCGGTTTAGTCCTGGTTCAGTCTGGATCATAAAGGGGCTGGTTACATAAAGCTGAGTGTAAATGTAGGTCTCGTGTTTCAGCAGAGCGTCCTACTTCTGCTGGGGGGAAATGTCCTGTTTCCTCTGGTCCCTGAAGAGGCTTTGCTCTCGGGCTTCTGCCGCTCGTCTCCGAGTCTGTGCGGAATGTTTCACACTACGGCATTAAAACTTTCTGTCTGTCAAACTTTAACAACACAGCGATAAGTCAACATTTATTTCAGCAATTTTACTTCAAAATCTGTTAAAAAAAACTTCACCAAATTAACTTTTTAGTCGATTTGCTGCGTCCTTTTTTTCACTTTTTGGTTCGTTTCTCTCACAGTTTTGTTGAAAATCAAACTCCTGAACAGGACCATGAACGCTCAGACTTATCGCCTGGATTTTATTCTTCATTTTGCTTTTTAAACTCCTAATTTTTCCCCCTAATGAAGTTTTATACATCTTTTTTTTTTTTTTTTTTTACTGCAATCTGTTATTTCACATCCTGCACACTCGAGGTGTAACGGTACAAAAAAATCACGCTTTGGTTCGTACGTAGGTTTTGACGTCACCGTTCAGTTTATTTTGCGGAGCAAAATGCAAAACTGTTTGTGTTTTTATTAAATTGACAATTAATCTTAACATTATACGAACGTGAAAATAAAATAAAGTCAAAGTGCAACTGGTAAAACTAATAAGTGAAATAAATATTCTCAAATAATCAACAAATGTTTGAAATATTATAAAAAATAAATTCCTTGTAAACGGTAAATAGAACTTTTCAGAAAGTAAGAGCAGCACGAACAGTTCCAGCATCAACTTTTACTCAAGCTTCAGATTTTTGGACAAAAAACAAACTTGTGTCCACAGAGTCTGAGAGCAGAGGATGAACCTGCTCCTTTGCTGTGGGGTCAGAGGTCGCGGGTCTGGAGGGGGGTGGAGTGTCCGTGCTGCTGGTGAAAGGTGAAAAGTGAGGACGGCGGCGTGACCATCGGAGTTTTTTTGGATGCTCGTGGTTTGACGTGGTCAGGACGTGGTCAGGTCGGGGTCAGGTCGGGGTCAGTTGTTGTTAGTTGTTGTTGTCACGGCGTCGCTCTGACTGTAAAACACTTTGGGAAACACTGGTTCCTGGTGAATTTTAAAGAGTGGAGTCTCTGTGGAGCTGCACATGTTCAGACGGAGGCTCAGTCGGTCGAGCGTTCGCCCTCTGATCTGAAGGTTGGTGGTTTGAATCCCGCTCTCGACATAAACTTCATAGGTTGAGCGTCAGATCCACAGGTTGGTGGTGTGATTCCAGCTCCCACAGATGAACACTGTCGTTGTGTCCTTGGGCAAGACACTTAACCCACCTCACCCCCAGTGTGTGTGTATGTGTGTATGTGTGTGAGTGGTTCTTTGTTGTAAAGCACTTTGAGTCTTGAAGGTGGAAAAGCTCTATTTACCATTTATCATGTAGTGGAGGAATGTAAACACACACAAATGGCGCAAACTCCCCGACGCCCCCGCGCGAAAAGGTTCAGCACGAACACATGAACCATTACACCTGTTTGTTTCACTTTAGTCATCTTTTAGTCCTGGTTTTAGTCCTGGTTTAGGCCTGGTTTGGTCCGAGCAGCAGCACTTTTTTTTTTTTTTTTTTTTACATTTCGTCATTCTGACACACGAGGGAATTATTAAGATGCAATGACACTTTTTTCAAGACAATATTTTCGCGGACTGGTGTGTAAATCCTGGTTTTAGTCCTGGTTTAGACCTGGTTTTAGTCCTAGTTTAGACCTGGTTTAGACCTGGTTTTAGTCCTGTAACTGCTGGGCATTCCACCCTTCGAGATGTGTGTAGAGCTCCCCCAGCGTGCCGTCACTGGCTCTGCTCTTTTTGCCGTGTGTGTTTTTGTGCATTTGTTTGTTTGTTTGTTTGTTTGTTTGTAGCTCTTTGGCCTCGCCCCCGTCGCTCCGTCGTGCCACATCTCCAACAGGCTTCCCGTCTCCATCTGTGCCCCCATGACGCCGACGCCAACACCACCAGACTGTTTACCCGGCGCTGC